AATTAAAACTATTTATTATTTATTCTCTTAAATATATTATAATTTGAGACTTCAAAATACTCCTGAATTCATTGTTGTGACAAATTTTCTTTGAAATTTTTAGTTCAAGCGACAATTTAAAACTAGAAAGCTGCTTACATCAAATAGTTTCTTTTTTTCTCAAAAATATAATTAAAAATAATTTGAAAGACTACTTAAAGACAAAAAAATAATAGAAAGGCATCAATTTAAGTTACGTATTTCTAAAATAAAAACTAGTGAACTTCCACACAGATAGAAGAATCGTAAAAAAAATATTTTCAAACTACCAATTTTCGATTGTAAATGTTTCTATAAAAATCAAAATACGGTAAAATTTCTTCAATCGAATTTGTAGAGGTACTTTTTATGAACGTCTTAATCACATGCGTATGTGATTCATCGGTGAATTCATATAAAAATATGGTAACTCTCAACTTATTTAACTAAAACAGTGCGCCTGCCTACAAGCAAATCGACGTGGAGCCATCATGAAGAAAAAACAACTCCGATAACGCCAATACCTAAATCAGTTAAACGTTCAATGATCCCACATCTGTCAATGTCACTCGACTGTCAAATATCTCGTGTGTCAAACGTCAGAATAACATTTATTGTTTCGGTGAAACAAACATCAGGCAAATGATTTCAGTACCTACATACTTTAGAGTGATTTTAATTAAATACTTTTCATTGGCAACTGTTTTGTGAATAATCAATTGAATGAAGTAGGTTTTATTTATCGTTTAAAAATCTGTGAATTTATGAGCTTTAGGTTTATTTTCGAATTACCCAGTGGTACAGTTTAAGTTTTGTGAAAGCAGTTTAGTTGCATAAACTCGCGTGTTGCAAGACTGATTTTGCAATAAATACGGTCGGCAGCCACCGGTGCACAATCACATTTCGCTTAAAGCGCTACCTTTCCCTACGATAGACGTAAGCTATTTTTGTGGAAACGATTTTAAACTTTGTCACCACGTGTGTTAGCGCTGATAATAATATGCACTATTTAAAAACCGAGGACCTTCCGAAACTCAACGTAATAGTGCCATTTCAGTCGCTCTCGTTATTATTCGCTTAGCAAGTGAAAGACAGCGAACATTCATTTTCACAACTTAAATCGAATTTAGGTCTTGTGCTATTTTATATCGATTTAATAGTAACTGTTTTCTGACATCATAAACATTAATTATAGGTATATTCGACTATATATCGTAAAAAAAGAATAATAATGTTTGGCTATAAGTGGCCCTTTTTACGATACAATCCCATCCAGTGTCTAAAGTCACTTCAGTTTTGTTTACACAATGCCCCGTCGCCTACACTTTGAGAAACAGTGGCCACGCTCCAAGTACGAATTAATATTATCTACATTATTCTAGAATATATTTAACATTTGTCAAATTAGATACTCGTCGAATGTATAGGTACAATTTGACGTGCTGAGATGCCACTATCTAGCGATATCTACAAATCTATAGACTGTGAATAGAGATTCTAATATTTACTGTCGATTAATTTGTGTATCATTAATTATTTATTTATTTATTTATTTATCACAATACAATACGGCAGAGGACGATAACGTCAACGAACGTTTTGTTCTTTTAACTTACAATTTTATACTCTATCTAATTTTATTTACGGTTTTAAACGTTCCGCGAATTTTGTAAGCCCTTATGACATTTTAGGTTCGATACGAGGAGCATATTTCCATTAGTTATTTGAAATAGGTTATATAGAACCTAGTTCGGATTTTTTTTAAGTAACAATTAACTAGTTTGATTCTAGTACTACATGACTGTGAAAATTTTCATGTGAATCATCCTCATCCTCATCCTTATCAATCAACCTCATAATTTTTAGCGGTCATAGCAACGCTCGATTTTTCTCAGCGAGAACTACACAAATCACTGCACTCACACAAAAACCAATTTACATAACTAAAATACTATAATTATCCTTCTCAACCTCTGTCAGAGTATAGTCCGACCTCGCTCACAACGAAACACTAATTGAGTTGAAAAAACTCAATTAATAGGCCCTTTACATTCACATTCAATCATGACAGCGGAGAGAGACGATCTAACCGACTTTACTAGTATTTGTGAAACCCATCATTTAATTTGATAGATTTGGTCCAAGTGGTCACTCAAGGTTAGAGATACTAGGAGTTTGCAGATATGTTTTCACGTCGTCTGGATTTATCGAATATGTTAATCGATTTGAAGGCCAACCCGATAATTATTGTGGGTGTTGACTTATTGATCGAATTTATCGAGGACCAGATAACAAAAAAAAAAGGGTGCGTGTACTTATGTACGCGCGTAAGAAGTTATACATTATTTTTATTAAATTTATTTCTTTTTTTTTATTTAAATTTTAATCAATTTGAAAAAATAATCGATTTAACAACATCCTAAAACACGCATATTGGACATCCCTTTTCTTGACATCGTATAAATTCGGTAATTCTCGGTACGGTTCGGAAAGTTCACCTGCGGCTATATTCAGACTCGCCAAGTTACGTCGGTCGTATTGCAATGAGCGATTTAGTGGGCAACTACATTTCTGTTAATTTTGTGTCTCACGGTGCGCGCGCATCGTAAAATTTCACTCTCATCAATTTTTCATAACGCGCCTAAAGAAGTATAACTTCAATAATTAGAACTGCCTTTGCGGTTCAATATCGCATTCCAACACTTTACAATCGATATAAAAACTTTAAATTATTCGAGAAGTCGTAAAAAATAAATGCGAGATTAAAAAGTGGTAAAAAAATTTTTTTATTGTGTTTACGAATCGCGAGAGTTAAAGAACGTATACTACACGAACAACAAGTTCAATTTTATATATAATATACTTTTTTTTAATGTGACTCGTGATGAAAGATCTGTTCCTTGTAACTGACAAAAAAGATGATGTCGAGGGATAAAAGGCTTACGCGACATTTATCTTTGTAATTAAAGGTCCGTTTTATTTGATATTAGCATCAACAATGCGACTTTGTTAGCCGAACTTCAATTATGTTTACGCCATTCAAATAACTCAGGAAGTATTTTTTTTCATGATATTTTTTCCAAATTTTAAAATTTTATATGGTTTTTCTGTAATTTTTTTTTTATTGCTTAGGTGGTTGGACGAGCTCACAGCCCACCTGGTGTAAAGTGGTTACTGGAACCCATAGACATCTACAACGTAAACCCATCTGGAGATATAAGTTCTAAGATCTCAGTATAGTTACAACGGCTGCCCCACCCTTCAAGCCGAAACGCAGTACTGCTTCACGGCAGAAATAGGCAGGGTGGTGGTACCTACCCGCGCGGACACACAAGAGGTCCTACCACCAGTAGTAACAAAAATGTAACAAAAATGGTGCTTAAACCACTTAGCCTTACACCCCTCGATATAGTTCCGTCTTTCGAATATCCTACACGACCATTAGTAACATCAATCCAAGAGAAGATCAAACACGCATCAAGGAATTTAAATGTAGACTAAAAGTGAATGGAAATATGTGTGAAGTTTCTTCCTAGAATTTAAAAATCTGCAATCTTTCAATGTTTTTGATCAGTATTATCTACAATACATTATAGTATGTCATAAGGGCTTTTAGGAGAACCGTTTAGTAAGTAAAAAAATCAACTAATACATCAATACAACTATGTGTTTTATCGATGAAAAACCAATTTTTTAATGTATTTTTATTAAACTAACTACATATCTTGTAATATTATATTATCTACGTTTAAACATATTTACATGTCAACGTTATGTTATTTGCATCCTATATTATAATAATATATTATATAATAAATATTGGACTTAATACATAGTAATGTTAAATGGTCCGTTGTTATTAAAAATTTTCAGCACATTTTTCATTACATTTCCTTTTTATATAGTACGCATTGTTACATTTATAATATTCGGATACTCTTTTTCAAAAAATTTAAATTATTGGAGTTTTTGTTATGTAAATTGATTTTAGAAAAAAATCTCAATTGATTTTTCTGTCATCCATATTCCATAATTAGGTAATATTTTTTATGTTAATAACAAGAAAACACAAACTTGTTATTGACACATTTAGAATCAACAATTTCAAACGGAACCAATTGCAAATTATACATTTCAAAATTGTTAACATTAAATTTTAAAAGCTATTTAATTTGTTTGAACTAGACGTGTATAAAAATGACAATATAATCAGTCTAAATTTAAAAATCTTAAGTTGTTTGTGTGTGTTTGTCACGAATACCCTCACAACACGTTTTTGTAAAGTATTATATTTGTATTTGTGGTTTTAGTTAAGTTACTTTATCTATAAGTGAGTCGTCTATTATCAAAGGTGGCAATCTGTGCATTTGGACAAAAAATTTTTATTGATATGTCAATACAGATTGATTTGAATATAATCGTCTCCTTCAAAGAATACGGTTCAAAACCTGCATTAAATAAAGGTTAATAGTTAACCTGTTATTTATCTAAGATGTCGTTCCGAAGAGTTTTGTGACTGCCGATGGAATACNATTTGAATATAATCGTCTCCTTCAAAGAATACGGTTCAAAACCTGCATTAAATAAAGGTTAATAGTTAACCTGTTATTTATCTAAGATGTCGTTCCGAAGAGTTTTGTGACTGCCGATGGAATACAAAGTCAATAATTCGTTTTTCTGATTTACCAATCATTGTCCAAAAGTCAGATTGCCGCCTTTGATAATAGTCGACTCAAGTAACCGAATTATCTTACTGTATATAATTTGAGGCACAGAAATCACAATCACTACATAGTATAAAACAAAGCCGCTTTCTCTGTCCCTATATCTCTCTGTCCCTATGTATGCTTAAATCTTTAAAACTACGCAACAGATTTTGATGCGGTTGTTTTTAATAGATAGAGTCATTGAAGAGAAAGGTTTATATGTATAATAACATCCATTAAATGGTAGAGAAATCAATAATAAATTACAGTTTCCGAAGCGAAGCGGGTCGCTAGTTCTAAATAAAATTTAAAATATTCAAACGAACCTAAGATTTTTAAATTTATGGAACGCTTTATTTTTTTATTTTTTTCAAATTCCACCTAAGACTTACTCTCTACGATCACAGCGCGCGCTATGTGGAATGTTCGAGCAACGGTTCGTCTTCGTGCTCGTGTAGTTCCTCCGTCCTGCTCTCGCTTGAGGGGAACGCAGTATGCGGAGCAAGGACGACAACCTTGCCGTCGTCGTTGTAGGCGAGGGGGGAGTAGACGAGCCCGCGGGTTCGTGTTCGCTTGTCGCGCGGTGAACGCCACTGGTACAAAAAAAAAAGCAAGATTAAAATAATTAAATAAGGTTTTATCAAACAGTACTTGATAGAAATGTGTGTACAGTATTTATTTATTTATTTTCAGTTTCCACGAGTCATGGATATAATTAATATAATTTTTAAAGTTTACTTTTTTCGTGGTTATTTACTGTCATTCTAAAATATTATTTTCAGGTTTATTTTTATTCAACTTATTATTATTTCTAATACTATATAATTCTCGTGGTAATAACGGACGTCTAAGGTGATATTCATCGACATTTCAATATTGTGATACTACCGTCTATCTTTCTATAAACAAATATTTGTATATAATGACATAATACCAAAAATAATAATAATAATTAATAAAAAAAACCTAAAAATTAACCGAAAAATAGCTTTAAAAGAACGTGAGTGTTATTTATGTTAAGATATTATTCATTATTGATAAAGATTACTTGTGTTTAATTGCATTTATAATACATTACATTTCATTTTCATAAATAAACTTTTAAATAATTATTGCCATCTTTTTCTTTTTTCCCATCCCTAGTCGCTAGGCTTGGTAGGCGAAGCTCGACCTGAGAGACTTTACTAGCCCTAGCTAGAACAGTCCTACACTGAATCTACCTCCGGATCGTAATCGGGACCGACTGAGAGGATACTACGAGAAACTCAGTGGGTTGTCTCTATGGATTAAATTGCGCGCCGAATTCCTGAGAACGGTGTCCAGGTTTGGATTGCCTAAAAGCACCGAGAGTAGATCTGGAAGATCCCACACAAAATGTTTATGGCGACAGCGGATATGCGTTGCCCCGTCACCTGGGTCGAAAAGGTAATTCAGGGCGGCCACGATAAGAGGGTTATCATTCCGCGCCATTTTCTCAAAGTTTTCTTATGGCCGACGAGAATTCCCCTACAATAAAAACCCACAGTTGATTTACACCCCCTATAATAAAAAGCCCAGAGCTGACACACACAGCGATACGATTAACGTACCGAATTCTAAGACAATACCAGATCCGCTAGACAGATAATTTGCCTATTAGAATATCAACACGTTTCACTTGTGATAATAATTCAGAAACGACAGACCAATAACAAAGTTTACAATAAGCCCTTCGTTCGCTGTTAATGCCTTATTGACCGGACTCAATAATTTTAATCAGGGATGATCTTACATTCCATTACCCATCGACCAGTCAGAAACGGACCGTGAGACGTCGCGACCTCACTACTAAAGCTCGGTGCTACTTATCGTTGAGAACGAAAGCGAACTTGATTCTATTTTTACCGAATATATTGACAGACTAGCGTCTCGCTGCGGCGCCGCTCGGGTCTTTAACAAAAATTTCAACGATATTTGACGTTGTTTAATTTTTTTAAATAAAGAACACTTATTGGGGCATAACTATAAGAGTTTGACATATGCTGTCGCGACACTTTTTGTAAATAATAATGTGTTCTACAAAGTCTTAGTACATTATTTTATTATATCATCAATAGTTTTCGCAGGGCACGCTATGTAAAGAATATTTTAGGCTTATATTATTGGATTTTGCTTAATCTTATAAAATAGTATAAAAGCATTCGAATTCGATTTTTAAAAAAAAATTTTTTTCTTCAAATTTTGCTTGATTTATTTTCCTCGGTTTCTCACCTGTAGTATCATCAGCACGACAAAGAACAGTGCACCGGCGGACAGACACACCATGACGGTTATCGCGGCGGCGCTGGGAGCTGACGTACTGCGAGCGTTCTCCACTGTGTGCAGAGCGCCCCACTCGGCTATACGACGTTTTCCCGCCACCGATGAGTTAATGCATTCACCTGGGACAACAAAAAAAAAAACGAAATTGCATTAACTGATCCAGCCTTAGTAATAATAATATGTGGTTTGTTATTTGTTCTCCGTATTCACGGGAAATTTTCACTCTATAATATACATATTTTCACTAATAAAATAAAAAGAGTGAACGACGCTAGACACTAGACGGTACAAATAAAACTGAAAATTCGTTTTTATATTGCTTAAATCTTATATATAACTTAAATCGGCGCGCGAATCTTGTTATGACGTCAGGGAACACCTGCACATTCGGGAATTCCGATCGCGTCTTATGACACCCGATTGCGACCAGAAATGGCAATATTCCACGCTACAAATACAGATTATGTACAAATTGCTTGATCTAATGTAAGTCCGAACCAAATTGATTTACTAAAATACCTTTATTTAATTATTATCGGGTAGATAGGTAAACGAGCTGACGGCCCATCTGCGTGCTTAGTTTTTCAACTTATCGATCGCGTAAATGTTAACTCAGATTTGTATGGTGTTCAGTGCACTTAGTACTAGTTTTTTAACGTTCTCGATAGCGTAAAAGTTAGCCGAAAATTGTATGGAGTTGGAACGTTTGTCTACGTTTGCCGCTAGGGGCGCTGTTCCAACTCCATACAAATCTGAGTTAACTTTTACGCTATCGAGAACGTCAAAAAACTCGCACTAAGCACACTGATGTAAAATGGCTGTCAGATTTCTATTCAGAGTATGTGGGCGTGCATTTGTGTGTGTGTAGACACGGGAGAAATCAGTAGCTCCTGGCTATTAGCCGGGGAACATCAACAAAAGTCGCAAACTGCGTGAGATCTTACCAGTTTCGGGATGACAATGGCAGCATTCGGTCCCGGGCGAGGTCGTCGTCCCCCTGTCCGTACAACACGGAACGCACTGATTGTTTAATCTGTAACAATGATTAAGTACGGTCTCATTGAAAAATTATAACAAAAAAAACCAACTACCTAATCGTTGGTAGCCTTAGGGGCTATTACAGCTAGGCCCGGTTTAGTAGGCGAGCTTACGGCAGTCAACCTGAAAGAATTTGCTAACAATGACCCTAGCAAAAACAGCAGCGTTTCTAACACCAGATCCGAGTCGCGACCCATTGAGAAGAAAGATAATCGGCAAGAAACTCAGTGGGTTACGTCTATAGGCTAGGTTAGAGAAGCATTTCAACGAAACAGCCTACACCTCAACTTCGCCGCTGGACTAAGCATACAGCATAGAACATATTAACCTCGGGACATAAAAAAATAGTTAAGTTTTTAAAACTCCGAGTCCTTGAACTCCTGCTATTTCCATCGTCACGTTTTTTTTTTCCTTGTAGATAGACGAGCATACGGCCCACCTGATGGTGAGCGGTTACCGTCGCCCATGGACTTCAGAAATACCAGGGGCAGAGCCAAGCCGATGCCTACCGCTTAATTCTCTCCACAAGCCTCGTTTGAAGAACATTTCATAGCGCTCGGGAAACACCGGTTAACCATAGAAGGGGCTACCTCTATTACCCACTTATTGATTTCAATATTTAGTATAAACACCCAGACAAAGAGCAAACAAACATGTTCATCACACAAACGTTTGCCCGACGTGGGAATCGAACCCACGACCCTCGGCTCAACAGTCAGGGCCGATAACTCAGCGAGTCTGTCGATTTTCTAGATAATTTCAATACGTTTTAGTTTTCATTCACTCTCTGTGCTCCGACTGTAACCATCGGGTACTGAATATTTTGCTCGTCTCAAATAAATAGATTTTATTTTACGTATCTTCAAGTTTCCATCGCGGAGTTTTAATTCAATATTATACACGAGAACTTCCGCAATTAATTATTAAGATTTAATTATTAAAATTAATTTACAGGGGAAACGATCTCACGGATATTTAATAATACATCAAAACAAAACAAAAATATTTTTTTCTCTCCTACCGACGCCAAAGTTCGGTTTTCCTCCCGCTGTGCAGGGAAGAAAGTGTAACTTTTTCTCCCTGGGTACTGACAAGTGCGCATGCGCGTTAGTGTCTACGTCTGCTCTCACGCACCTAAAATTCTCCGCCATTGTTTTGCTCGGGTAATTTGCAATATTGTGTTTAGTGTAAAAGTGAAATAAACAAAAGGCAATAAAATTTTATAGTGAAGTATTAAACAAAGATGAGTTTTGATTGAGTTCATCAGTGAGGGGGCTCCAACCCCCGCCAGGGCTTCGCCCCTGGACCCCGGCTCGGTACTCCACGGGGGCTAAGTTTTTTACAATGTCGAACTTTCGGTCTGGTAGGAGAAAAAATAGTATGTGCACCGCGGGAAAAAAGTAGGACATCTCATCCCGCGTGTTTGGCAATTTTACACGCGGGAGGAAATGTCCAACTTTTCTCCCTTGGTGCACCATGTACTTACTATATTCCAATAACCAACAAAACACGCGAACTCACCTATCGAGCCTCAGCGGCCTGGAGCATCCTGTACAACTGAACTGTCCCGAACCGTAGCAGGTGCGACACGACGGATCGCACGTGCTGCACGTTCCATTGCCCGCCTCGTAGTACTGAGAGCCGAGGCACTCCATACAAAGCCCGCCGTCTAACACGAAACGAGGCGGACACGACGTGCAGTGTAGCGGACCGGAGTCCGAGCACTCCCGGCAGTAGTGGTGACAATGACGGCAGCCGTCGTCGCTTTTGTAGAATCCTAAACCGAATCACCACTCTCTTGATTTAACACTAATCATTCCAACACTTACGCATCACATACAACAACGTACACAATATTATATCATGATAATAATTTATACATTTACCAGAGACAAAGAAGAATATAGTATAAGTATAAGAAAATCCTATATTGCACAGAACACACTAGATTGCGAGTCAAATTGTATGTTTGCCTTTTAGGTCCCTTTGAAATAGATTGACTCTCAGTCATCTACGGATTCGTCTGTCCCAGAGTCTACTTATAGATATTCCGACGCCTTAATAACAGAAATCGACATAATTACTTCTGTGGGCCTCGTAGGACACCGGTGACCTACATAGCGTTCAAAGGGTTAAATTGTATGTTACCGACTAAGGTCAGATGATATCTGGTCATGTGGCCCTTTGGCTCTTCAATTCAATCGATTACAAAACACAAAATGATACGTTTAGGCATATCTGCAGTATCAGACGTGATTTCAAAAAGGATTTCGAAATTTCAAAGAAGAGTAGTTACCTTGAGGACATTCGGGGTGACATTCTCCAGCGGCTAGCCTCCAACCCTGAGGGCAGGACGCGCACTGATCGCGACGGGGCCCAATACATGTCCGGCAAGATAAATAGCACTTGGAACAGGCGCCGCGATCAGCGTAGTACCTGTTAAAAACGAGATGTGTAAATAGATCGTTGTAGTATTCGTCACTGTTCTAAGCATCATCAAACAAAGACCCTATCGAGTTCTGGTCAAAATCAGAAAGATTTTTGAGATTTGGTTAGCCATATTAGCCGCACCGTTTGAGATTAGTTGGGTAAAATTGGGCTTTTAGCTTTTGTACTTATAGATTTGCAATGAGATCATATTCACGGCTTCAGTGGGCAAATTCATTTAAAGTCGCAGAGGACGTTTTTTTTTTCCTACCTTAGCTGATAGCCTTAAGAGGCTATTTCAGCGTAACCTTAACTAGTAGGTGAGCTCAAGGGGCTCAAACCTGTCGACGTTGCTAACACGAACCCTAGCCAGAGCCGTGCTTCGCAGAATCCACCACCGAATCGGAAACGCGACCCACTGAGAAGATCCGGCGAGAAACTCAGTGGGCTGTGTCTGTGGGTTAATTTACTCATCGAGCCCTTCGTCGCAAGCGACGGGTTCGACGACAACGATGACCGGAGAGGCCTGAGTTCGACAACCTATTGAATGAAACTGAAGTGAGAACTTACCCATCAGCGCATGAAGTCCTGCAAGCTCCAGACTGCAGTCTCAGGGACCCAGCACAGCTGGTACAGTTGAGTCTTGAAACGCATTCAGTACAACCGTGCACGCAGCGAATGCACCGACCGGCCTCCGCGTAATATCCGCTGCTACATTCCGGGACGCATCTAGCGACAACGAATGTATAATACTTATTGGTTTTCTCCTTATTTCGGCTTATGTATATCGGCCCTAATCAAACGCCACTGCGTAACAAATTCTATTGTGTCTGTTGAATTCGCTTTAAACTGACTTACATAAAAAGGACATAGTACAACAAATTTTGTAGACGATTTTTTTTTATTGCCCTTGTCGGCAGGCGAGTGTTTACCGTCGCCCATGGACTTCAGCAATGCCAGGGGCAGAGCCAAACTGCTGCGTACCGGAATTATGAAATATACCTGAGTCCCGCGATGCTACCCGCGGTTATTGCCGTCTAGCTAGTCTAAAAAAAGTAGCCTAAGTTACTCCTTATATCATCAGCTATCTATCTGTGAAAATCCCGTCAAAATCGGTCCAGCCGTTTCAGAGATTAACCGGAACAAACAGACAGACAGACAAAAATTTAAACAGACACTCCAATTTTATTTATTTGTATAGATAAACACAATTTTCATTAAATACTATATTTAACACGACGAGTGACGTGTCCAAACTGAAACCTACACTCGTGTCCAGAAAGCATAGATTTTACAACCGAATTAGAAGTGCAGCAGACTTTTTGGCGGGAGCGCGAGGAGTGAAGTTGTGCGATTTGTTTTATTTTGTCTATTTAGTGTTTCTTCATGTTTAAATGTGTAATAACAGTGGTTTGTTAACTGTTTAATATCTGTGAAAGTGCACAAATATGGGGAAAATGAAACAAAGCTGCTGAACGTAGCTTCTCGGGATCCCCCNATTTTACAACCGAATTAGAAGTGCAGCAGACTTTTTGGCGGGAGCGCGAGGAGTGAAGTTGTGCGATTTGTTTTATTTTGTCTATTTAGTGTTTCTTCATGTTTAAATGTGTAATAACAGTGGTTTGTTAACTGTTTAATATCTGTGAAAGTGCACAAATATGGGGAAAATGAAACAAAGCTGCTGAACGTAGCTTCTCGGGATCCCCCAAAAAGTCCACTGAAAAAATGTCAGTCAGTAAATGACCACCATTTTACTCAGATTATATTTCATCCCATATCATCGCATTTCATTTAATTTCGTCCCAGTTCATTAATGCCTCAAATTAATCATCTTCATTTCATTTCATTTCACTCCATAATATCATTTTTCATAAAAATAAGAAAATAAATTAAAATAAGACATGACTTAAAGGTCTTAGTTACCAGGTCATAAAATCCCATTAAAAAAAAAGAAGTGCAGCATAAAATAGGAGCGACCGCCTAACAGAGGATCAAAATCACAGTAAGCTTTACGAGGAACCAGCAACTACTGATATAACAATGACGTAGGTAATCACAATTTCCTTCGGATTCGCTACCCGAGTTGTTCGACAAGTCCCGTGCATTAGTTATTTAAGACGCGGCATTACCAAAACGTGATTCGACCTAATCCGCAGTAACACGTCCTACTGAGGACTGATGATAGTTAATACGTAATTCACTAATTTCGTACAGAATACTTACTGCATGGTTCAATTAAAAATAGCGTTTAATACGAAATAATGTTTTTAAGTTGGTTTTCGTAAAACGAAAATGTTACACGATTCAGCCAAGACGTTAAACTATGGTACCATTATTTTTAAGAATCATTTAACAGTTTAAAAGTGATGTGCAGCAGGTGAGCCATGAGCACGTCCACCCGTCTAAGCAATAAGAAAAGAATAATATCCTCACCTGTAATCTTCTAGCAAATTAGGCGATGGACAAGTTAGACAGTGTCCTTCGCCCTCTCCATAGCACGATTCACAAGCGTCGTCACATCTGCTACAGCCGAGTTTATCTATGAATTGTCCGGTCGAACATCGATCAGATCCAGCTGGGAGACATCTCCCCTTCTTATTTATTTCCCAATTTGTTTCGCATGTGAGACAGAAAGCGCTTGTGCAAGTCGCACATCCAACTGGACACCTGTGCAATGGATACAAATTTAGCAAGTCCTGCAATTAATAGCCTGCAAGTAATTAATAAAGTATTCAGACCAACCTCACGCATTCCTTCCTTTTTTTGTCCACGTAATATCCGCCTGGACATGTCGCCACACAGCTACCATCTAACACGTAATTTGTAGTGTGACAAGTTATGCATTGGTTTTCCTTTGGTCCAACGCATGTGTCACACGAATTGTGGCATTTGGCGCAAGTGTAATCGTCGGTTTCGTAGTGCGCTGCCGGACATGTGACCAGACAGCTGCCCTCGTGCAGGAGTAGGTGATGTTCACACGACGTGCACGCATTCGCTCTTTCCGAACAAGTCGCACAATGAGCTGCACAAGGCCGACAAGTTGCAGAATCTGTGTCCTCCCAATATCCATCAGGACATTGTTGTAGGCAAACAGCCAAATCTGCCACTAAAAAATGAGCCGGAGCACATGTGAAACATGAATCTTGCCCCGGTCCCATGCAAGTTTCACACGATTCGTGACATTGCCAACAAACTCCCCCTTGATTGGCATAGCTTCTCGGTGGGCAACGAGAAACGCACGTGTCATCTAAACGGTAATGTTTACAAGCCACACATTGGGACGGTCCTTTTCCGTAGCATCCTTGAGAATCGCATTCGGGATCACAGTCGTGCATGACGCGCTTGTCATTACTATCGGCGAGGACATTTTCCCCATGCGGTGAAGGGACGTTATGTCCGTCGAGACGGGCTACCGCCTTTTCCGGGTTGGACCCAGCGGCGAATAAATTTGGAAAGTTCTGGTAATTAGCAAACGCGTCAGTATTGTAAAAAGAATCACTGATTGTGTCGTAGCCATCCGCTGCCGTTGGAAATGCGTATGACGGTGCAAATGGCGACGGTCTCTTTGATCGTAACCGAACGGGATCTATGACAGTTCCGTAGAATATCAGCTGCCATTTCTTGAGAACGCCCGCCTGGTTCACGTGCCTTTTGCCGGCGTTTATTATTTCTAATGTCCATCTACCTTCTGCTTGTTCTCCCCAAAAATGAACGCTCAAAAATGGCCAATCGTCGAAGGTAGAACTAGCCACGTCACGAGGTCGTTCGAACAATAATGTTGATACAGTACCCATTGGTGAAGTTAATAATATACGCAGGTTACCACGGGGGAAGAACCTCAACGATATTTTACATTGGACATGTTCTAGGTAACGCACTTCATTCACCGTACCACTGCATCCAGTTACATCCATATATGTCCTTAATGAATTGCCCAAAGTAGAGTCCATCGACTTGTCTTCGTTCAACTCCTGCGATTTACAGATATGTTGAGGTGGAACCGTTACCCACTGCTCGGCCAAATTTACCATTTCCGTGGCATCCATAAGACCGTATCCGAATTTGTGACTAACTTTCCTCTTGACTCCATTGATGATCCAACCCTTTTCTCTTTCTAACGGTTCAGGCCTAGACGTCATTACAACCAGATATTGCATATCTCTCCATGTTAATTCAGGATTTGCTTCAAGAGCTAAAGCACATATTCCAGCTGCTAATGGTGCAGAAGCTGAAGTTCCCGTGTGTTCTACTGTACAAATGTGGTCAGCCCTCAGTCTACCGTCCATATCAACAGTCGCCACACTTTTGTCGTGACCCGGAGTACCCGAACTGTAAGTGGTAGCTAAAGTGGAAGAACATTCTTCGAGATACCAAGGTTTGTAGCCTCCTTGTGTTGCACTAGATATCGATAGAGTAAATATGCTGTTTGTGTAGCCGTCACAGTTACATGAATCGGTGTGCCTTCCGCCGTTACCGGAAGCCCAGACAAAGATAGAGCCTTTGCCACGACGACCGCTCGTAACACCATATATAAATGCTCTACAAAAATACTATGAATTAGTTTCCTTATTTAACATATCTACTAGGTGTTATTTTTTTATTCAGACTCACCTTCTGGCCAAAGGTCCAGGACCGTCAACTGTTTTGCCATCGTCTTCCGGTCCCCAGGAAGCGCTATAGATGTCAATATGATCTGGATTCAATCCCAACGCTCTTGCTTCTACTGCATCATTGACAATTCCATCTAACATCCTAACTCCTCCTATGCTGGCGTTGTAGGCAATACCTACAGTATAAAAAAGAATCTCATTGTAAGATTTAAATAAAGTTTTCGTTTTTTTTTTTGCGCTATCAGTATAGACGAATTCTCATATCAAAATGTCGGGTAGTACTAGTATCAAAATAAGCCCAATCACTAGTAACAATACATTTGTTTTCACGATTTTTACTTGTGATTTTTTACGAGTGAGTAATTCGTTAATACGCTTTAGATGATTTTTTACATAGACAAATTGGTACCAATAAAAAAATGGCATCACTCAACACGTGTACACAGAGTGCCTACCCATTAGGCCTGCGTCGTTATTGAATTAATTCGGTTTAAAAGATCACGCCCCCGCAGAGCATATATATGTCATCAGCTTGCCTAATTATACGAATATTCTAATTGCCCTTACCCACACCACAGTAGCGATTGTAAGCGACGGCTGCGACTTCGCCTGCACACCTTGTGCCGTGTTTATTGTCGCCATTGTCCTGGGGCATAGGGTCGTCATCGTTGCCGTTTATGTCCGTCGATGCTAGAGGATCCTTCAAGAAATACAACTCTTATAAAGTTTTATATTAGGTTATTTGCATTTGCGCATTCGCTATAGATTCCTTTTTAGCAAACACCAATTGACCAAAAATTAATTCAACGCTTGTCAAAATGTTGTTATGGCACCATATTAGATCGATTTCACGACATTAAACCTAATTAAGCTCTGACTGAATCTAGTATTAGTCTAGAGCTTTTTCATTTACAAAAAATTTAAACTGGTCATGTTCCTCTGTCGGTATCGCTAATTCTATGAAAAACACCGATTTTACAAACTAACGATGTAAATTTTGCAAAAAAAATATTCCACACAAACATTTACTGATAATTACAAAAAAAAAACAAATAAATGAATCAGCCATTTCAGTCATGCCGTTCTCAGGCTATGCTCCTTCATACATGTGGTGTTTTATTTACATTAATACAGTATAGATATGTATATTCACTTACGTAATTCTGTGCTAAATCTGGATGGTTTGTTTGTATTCCGTCATCTAATATTGACACTACAACGCCCTTGCCTGTATATCCCTTTTGCCATGCTGGCGCCACGTTCATGTCAAGTCCATCTTTAGCACCGCCATTCTGTTTAAGAGAACATCTAATGAACATATGTTCAATTCTTTCGTATAAGTATTTAACTGACTTCTAAATAACTCAGAAAAGTAGAGAACAAGATTATTTTTAGGAAAAACTATTGTATTATTCTTTTGTGTAACCTAAATATAAAGTTAGTCAATATTCATCGCTAGTTTAAAACCTGAGCTGAGTGTTAGGCATTTTTCTTTTTTTTTTTTATTGCTTAGATGGGTGGACGATCTCACAGCCAACCTGGTGTTAAGTGGTTACTGGAGCTCATAGACATCTACAACGTAAATGTGCCACCCACCTTGAGATATAAGTTCTAAGGTCTCAAGTATAGTTACAACAGCTGCCCCGCCCTTCAAACCGAAACGCATTACTGCTTCGCGGCAGAAATAGGCAGGGTGGTGGTACCTACCCGCACGGACTCACAGGAGGTCCTGCCACCAGTAAATCTTAATTCTGGTTTTAATATTTAACGAAATCTCAAGCGCTTAATGTTAACTCACCAAATACCATTGTTCCTTATATAACGGATCGGTGAAGTAGGGCTGTGAGGACAGCGCTCTATTGTGCGCTCGGTGAGGTGACGTACGCCGCGGCAGTTGACCGAAAGACGCCCTATCGTAGGCGTTATAATCGCGCTTGAAGCGACGTTTCTCATGTTGTTGTTCGAACCACGCTACCTAAAACAAAAACAAAGAAAATTCAGCGTTTTCTTGATACCAAATCGGTGCTATTGACAGATAGACAAAAAATCTTCTCCACTGGTCCAACGGCTGTCCCACCAGAAACGCGTGAGCGTTTCGAGGCAAAAATAAACAGGATGATAATGCGGGCATACAGTACATCTTACCACCGGTATTTTAGATATGAATTAGGAAGAATGTGATGATACTCGTACTACTTAATAAGGATGGATGGCTGGAAATATCAAGAACTTTTGATGTGAAACATCTATAGCCGCACGTAAAACCGATTTCTGGCGCGGCGACGCATGCCGTGGCAACGCGTCACTGATTAAACGAATTAAGTAGTCACGATTTGAAATAAATTCGTAAATTTTTGTATTTAATGAAAATAAATGTTTATTCAATAAATAGTAATTTAGTTCCTATCACATTTGTTCTTTTCTGCATTTTACTTTTACAAAATAATGTCGATGTTTCATATCTGCCAGGCGTCCCGTGACGGCTCACTTTTTTTTTTAAGTTTTTTGTTTGGTGAATGAACGCACCTTGAGTTATCATCATCATCGTCATGCTTTCCTATTTATTACCCTCTGCTGGGGTGTAGGGCTCGAATCAAATTTTTCCATTTATATCGGTCTTGGGCAGTCTGTTCTAGCTCCTCCCACGTCATGCCCAAGACCCCTAGCTCCTGCTCCACCGAGCGACGCCAAGTTGTTCTGAGGCGGCCTCTCTTCCTTTTACCAGACACTTTCCAGGTCAGTGCTCTCTTTGATAGGTGTGTATCGAGCTTTCTCAAAGTGTCACCTTGAGTTATGCTGTCGACTTTTTTTTTTGCCTACCTAAGCTGCCTTGAGAGGCTATTTCAGCGTAACCTTAACTAGTAGGTGAGGTCACAAGACTCAAACCTGACGACGTTGCTAACACGAACTCTAGCAAGAGCCGTGCTTCGCAGAATCTACCACCGGATCGGAAACGCGACCCACTGAGAAGATCAGGCGTGAAACTCAGTGGACTGTGTCTGTGGGTTAATTTACTCGTCGAGCCCTTCATCGCAAGCGACGGGTTCGACGAGAACGATGACCGGTACTTGAGGAACCTAAAAGCACTGTTAGTGGATCGGGAGGATCCGAAATGACGTAGGTCGACAATGGGAAAGCATAATGTCTTCATGGAGAATAGTGGTCTCTATCAAGGTTGGCTTATAATATATTCGGCCTCCAGTAAATATGTCCTGATCAAATTCTGCTAAAACCCAACTTAAACTCGGCTATTGACAAAGAAATTGCCAATATGAAACATCGCACCCCTGTGCCCTCGTGAGATTCCTTTAATTATCGTACATATGACATTCACAAAAACTGACAACTTAAATGTAGCTGTACGTGCCAAGTACGTATGTTCCCACTGGGTCAGGAGTACGAGTATAAAATCTTAAAATTCCGAAATAAGCTCACGCCAACGCGTGATAAGCTCTTAGAAATTACTGAATATATTCGAGAACATGCTACAGATAAGGAGAAAATGCGAGACGATAGTTCTGCGCGGAGAATATGATTGTTTCAGTAATAGTAATTGTTTTCGACGACGAGCTCTCAACCCATTTGGTTGCCGGAGCCCATAGACATCATACCACGATTGCCCACCTTAAAATATGAGGTAAAAAGTCTCAATTATATTGCACGACTACTTCGCTTAAAATACGCTTTACGACTAGTAACTAGCGGTTGGTGATCGCAATAAGCTAGTATTATATTCTGAGAACGTTACTGTCCATGGTCCATCCAATCCCTTAGTTGCATTTTCTCTCATCTCTATGAGACGGTGGTATACAAAGCCGACATAACACACTCAGAATAGATCTACATTAAATAGTCATATACTTAATGCGTCTAACTACTATATCTATCTTTCAGCCCACAGACGCCCACAGCTGGACATAGACACCAAGCCTCGCCGCAACGATCGGTCCTGGGTTGCTTGCATTCAGCGTACCCCTGCCAATCTCAATAAGACGTCGGTCCACTTTGTGGAGAGCCTACTCACGCTCCGTCTCCCAGTACGCGGTCGTCACTCGAGATCTTTTCAGCGGTCATCTGTTCTACGAGCGATGTGCCCTCCCCTGCCGTTACCACTTAAACCCACCCACAATACAATACACAAAAATCATCCTCATTATAACAAGTTTCTATTCTCTTCAAACAGTTACTGATTCTAATAACGGAGTCTAACTCTGTTAGTAGGAACGAAACACAGAATCACGGCATTAAAATCTTGAACGATTCTCGTAATTACCAAATTAGTATCCCGACTTATACAGACGCCCTGGAGAGTAGCCAAGTTAAAACGCAATCGGGTGCACTACAGCATCAAATTGAGATTGCTTCACTTAAAATTCCTGCTTCCAAAATTAATTAAGACTAACTTAAAAAGAATGCTCTTCAGCAAAAAAAAAATCAAAAAGTATGAAAATTGAATGAAATTTTTTAACAATTTTAAAAGGTTCTTTTAAGTTATTAGCTAAGTTATTAACATTAGCTTAGCTCGCGGTATGTGAAAGCTGTTAACAAATAGGTGATAGGAAAAAGGGCTTAAAATTGCGTAGGTATTGTAAACCCAAATGGGTAGATTCGACCCTCCTGCCTGTTTTTGCCTTGAAGTTGGGATGTGTTCTGATTTTGAGGGTAGGGAACGTGTTGGGCGTATCGCTGACATTAATTATATCCATAAGTGACGGTGACCACTTACAATCAGATGGGCCGTATTCTCGTCTGCCTGCCACGGAGATAAAAAAGATAAAATAATTTGATTGGTTGTAAGTTCAGCTGCCCAGCAATAAAAAATAAACAATGTTACAGATCTAATTCACAGACTACTTCCAGCTATATGTATGTCCAAACAGTAGAATAATTTTCATTTTAACTTCAGCTAAAACTTTAGCGATAAGCGCCTACACGTTGATTGGTCAGAATGACGGATCTAAAAAGTGTCGTCACAACTTTTCGTAAGAATTTTTTCCGTCTAGCTCCCTTTCACAACGCGCGATAAGGAACTTCGTTCCAACATTCAAATAGAACCATGTCATTCTTTTAGGTCAACAAAATCCTCCAGAGACGTCACGTTGCGTTCTCAACAGCTGTGATATTGCAACATCTAAAACTAGATGCGGAACGCCCCTATTCGGAGCTCATACGTAATACCGGGATACTCGATTATACTCCACCCACCCTTTATCGGTTGTTTGATCTAAAATTAGATTCTAAATTTGGAGCTATACGTTTTTTGGTAAGACTGTCTCAACTCAACAAAGAAAAGGTCTCGTGTGGGCCGCATCACGATTCTCAGAAATCGATCGGACGAAGTTATCAATTGAATACTCACGCACTATTTATTTTATTTAACGCCTAACCGGACTTTTATTACAAATATTGTACTGAATGGAAGCATGTTTTTTGCGTGGAATCTGTCGTATTCAAATGACAAAAGAAAAAAATGTCTCCTTCGTTGACATAAAAAGGAAAGACGGGTCATTCAGTCACGCGGGTTTGTTGTGACTTCAACATAATATGAACGACTATGGCGCCACACAAATCTGCAACATTCTAGAACGTAACATATCTCCTTGATGGTTAAATGAAAATTAAATGAATACAATCGTATAAACATTCCGTTTGATATTGAGAACTAGTAGTCAATTATTACGATGATAATACAATAAAAATGTAAAATAAAATACGTACTCAACAAATGTTCACGATTGACTTCCACGGTGAAGGAATAACATCGTGTAATAAAAATGAAACCCGAAAAATTTTAATTTGCGTAATTACTGGTGATAGGACCTCTTACGGCCTGGCCACGGGGATCGGCGGTGCGAACAGCGAAGCGGTGGGCGAGGCGACCATTCGCGCAGCACCGTTTGCAGGCCACGGGTACTCACGTTCGCCGCCGCGACTAGTAAGGAAGTCCGACAGCGAAATGTCTATATCGAAATTATCTCGATATTGCTTACAAATTAATAGTTTTTTGGTTCAGGACCTNGCTTCCTCGGGTACTGTTTTTACACTTATCAGGAGGACGCGTTGTACAAACACAGATGTTCCCTCGGCGCAAACAAAGTTATCCAACGTCGGTGCGTCTTGAATTCGCAAAAATGCCGACCCGCAAACGTGTACACGTCCAATGAGCTTTAATAAAGCTCCTTTGTACTTATACGTCGTTACGTAATGGGGTCCTAAACTAATAAACCGGGCGCGGTTCTTATTCTACAACTCTATGAAGCGGACCGGTTTAAATAGATTTACACCGAAAAAAGCATTCCCCGGTCCCTAGAGCTGTGCTTCGACCCTTGTCTTTTGTTGCACGACCCAATTTACGCTACGTTGAGCGTATTTGTTTTTGAATCTAATTAAAATTCTTTCTTACGTTCGTTAATTATGAAGTCAGGTCGCCATTTAGAAGGGTACATTTTTATTTGAAAAAACTCGCAAACAACAGTACTGGTTTGTGTGCATTGCGGTGGGTAACAGGTAATATATAACAGTATGCAAATGAAAATCTTTTGTGTCAAGGTTGAGAGCTGTATCTATACTCTAATTCATGTTGAAACACCTATTAGTCGGGTTTTTTTTTATTGAATTACTAGCTGACCCGGCAGACTTCGTAGTGTCTCAATCGATAAATAAAAGACCTAAACTTTTGTATAAAATAAACTTAAAACAAACAAAAGGAATCCGTCTTACGGGGGACACATCAAAGGAAAAACAAAATTGTTATTTTTATTTAATTCCGATAAATTTTCATATTTATCTACCTTTTAAACCTTCTCTGGACTTCCACAAATAATTCAAGACCAAAATTAGTCAAATCGATCCAGCCGTTCTCGAGTTTTAGCGAGACTAACGAACAGCAATTCATTTTTTTATATATAGATAGATATTTAGTTAGATTAAACCAATAACATATATTATACATTCTTCTTAGTTGCTTGCACTCTT